AGCTTTCGCGAGCCATCGCGAGCTTTCGAGTCCTATCGCAAGTTTTAGCGCCTCATCTTGAGCTTTCGAGTCCATTCGGGAATTTCCACGTCCTGCCGCAAGTTGTCGCGCCTCATTTTGAGCTTTTGCGCCCTATCGTGAATTTCCGCGTCCCATATCGAGCTTTCGAGTCCTGTCGCAAGTTTTTCCGCTTCATCTTGAGCTTTCGCGTCGTATTTTCAGTTTTTGGGTAAAATAGTGAATTTCCGGGGAAAAAAAAAATCGGTACCGATTGGGTGCACCCATTTGCACTATTGTAAACCAGACCGTTTGCACCGCTTCACGAAGCACGAGCAAACGTTTGCCGACCTTCCGTTACAGCGAACCGTCAGCGATAAAAAAATCAAGCGGAGCTTGCGGAAAGCTGAGCGAACGAGTCGCGGGAGAACTCAAACACGAAATCCAATCCCGAATTCATCTCTAAGGGCGAAATCCCGGGTCCTAACGATGCAATTCTGCGGAATTCGTCCTCATGCGAAACCCATTTGACGTGGGTCCATGGACATTGCGCGGGTTTTAGAGTCCAGGACTCGTTCGCGGGGGGTCACGGCGGAATCCCAAGCTTCCAACATTTGTATTTGTATCTCGGATTCATGGAATCGGGTGATTCCCGCCCCCTCTTGGGCAATAACCCGGAAAGCCCCTCCGGGGAAGATGGGCTGCAATTACATCCATTATCTGATGGATTCCAGTCAACGAGGTCCAGCCCTCGGAAACGCAGACGAGGAAGTGGCTCGGATCTCGTTTCTTGCAAATTGAAAGCCCTTCGTCCTGGATCCCGTGTCACGCGAGCTCCACTAGTGCTTTCGAGCTTTCGAGTGGCTTCTCAGGAATCTGCACCGATTTCCTTCGGCTGGGCTTTCGCTGTTTCCCTCGACACCCGAATTGCGCGACTCCACTTCTTTTTTTTTTCTTTTTTTTTCTCTCGCGGCTTTCGTTTAATATTCATATACGAGAGGAAGAGGATAAACGAGATTGACGGTTGACATTGTTCTTGCCAGTTTTTCGTCTCTTTTCATCGCCTCGGTGGGAATATTTATGTATGAATGTTCCCAGGAGGAATGTGTGCGTTATTCAAATCGACGGTCGAAATTGATTTCATTTGTTTATGAGTGGCGTGTAAAGGAAGGTCGGTAGTCCGTTGATTTGTGCAACTGACGGGGGGAAATTGTTTTTAATGTACTGTGTGGCAACTCGGCGCGATCGCCTTTGACTGGAAATGAATATTATTGGTCGCTTTCAATATTTCGACAGCACGCGACACGTTTTTCCCGAGGACTTCTCATCTAACGTTTATTTTACGGGAAATAAATTCCGGCTCGTTGGGAGTTCGATGCTTTTTCTGAATATAGTAACCCGTGTTACGTACTTTTCTACACGTTTATCCTATCGTTTTAAACATTATCAATTTTTAGAAACGCCCAAATAACCAATCAACATCATTTTACAAGTTACACGAATTTACGATTGCAATTCCTTAGTAATAACCCGTGTTAGGTACTTTTCTACACGTTTACCCTATCTTTTTAAACATTGTGAATTTTTAGAAAGTCCCAAATGACCAATCAACGTCATCTTACAAGTTACAGGAATTTACGATTAAAATTCCTTCGTAATAACCTGTGTTAGGTACTTTTCTACACGGTTATCCTCTTTTTAAACATTGTCAATTTTTAGAAACGCCCAAATAACCAATCAACGTCATCTTACAAGTTACAGGATTTTACGATTAAAATTCCTTCGTAATAACCCGTGTTAGGTACTTTTCTACACGTTTATCCTCTTTTTAAACATTGTGAATTTTTAGAAAGTCCCAAATAACCGATCGACGTCTCTTTAAAAGTTATAGGAATTTAAAAGAAGGCCATTGTTGGTCGATTAGAGGCAGAGCTAGTGGTCGGGGCAAGCGTTAGGTCAGCCACGTAGGGGAAGAGGTCTTCCGGTGAGCCGCCATCGGCAGGCCGTTACTCCATGGGAAAGCCTGACGTGGCTGCCAACCTTGTAATTGTCGTCCTTTGTCCGCCGTTCGGGCTGCGGCGTCACGTGGTGGTGAGCCGCGAGCTTTGCCTGAGCTTGCGATCAACGCCACCCCCGCCACCCACCCGGAATTACAGCTCCCCACACGGTCCATCGCGCCGCATATCCGCATTTTGGGTTTGACGTCCCGCATTTTGAGTTACACGTTTTGCGGATTCCGCTCGGAATTCCCGACCTTTTTCCCCGTAAAATCCCGTCGCTTTGTGATTACCGATCCGATCCGAATTTCCAATTTGCCGAGCTTTTAGGAGCGCTTTGAAAATGCCGCCCTCCTATTTTTGAGCCTACCGGCTGCGGCCTGGGAAAATCCTTTTTCTTTTCCTCGGAAAATGCCGATTTTCTTGCGGCTGTATCGTGCCACGTCGAAATGAATTCCGGGCAAAAGTTGGGACTGATAACGATATCTAAACTCCTAAATTAATTATTCAGTAGCGCTGCGAAGAAATGAGTAATCCTTTTTGGGGGGAAATTCGAAATTCATTATCCGTATCGTGTCATTTTTTTGCTGACGAGTTGAATTTTTCATTAACATATGTCCGATATCCTGATGACTAAATTCCTAAATACGTTATCTAGGGATGCTTGCTGAAAAATGTCTGATAGCATTTTCCAAGGAATTGCGGACGCGTCAATTTTTCTCTAGCTTCCTCTTTGACGCGTCTGCAATTTTGCCGATAATGCTATCAGACAGTTTTCAGAAAGGAGGGTTCTGCACTCTTGAAACTCTATCAGACCTTCTTTCAATTAGCGGGAGTTCTTTCGGAAAACACGTCTCGGGGGATGTTTCAGGGTGGAAAAGTTCGAAAGGTACGGCGAAAAATGGCCAGATAGGGTCCAGAGGAAAACTCTCTTGGAAATGTCTGATTAAATAAATGGATCGACCGGTGTGGACCAATCCGGATGTTTGATCTTCGTTTATTCGCCTTCGGAAGTCATCCCTTGGTGTCTCTAACGTGGGGTGGATCTTCCCCAGTCGTCCCGCCAATTAGTGGAATTCTCTCGAGGAGTTATCTCTTCCCATCCCTTCCGGTTTCCTCCCGACACGCCAGAGGAAAATTGCTCCGAAGACATCGAAAAATTCAATCCGGGGTCCCCGACATTTTCTTTTTCCACAATTCGACGCCATGATTAAAAGTCCGAACCTCGCGTAAATATCATTCAGAAGTGCCAGCAATTCTTTTAGATAAATTGAGAAATTACAGAAATTACAGTTCTCAGCCTCTGACGATAGGAATTAACGACAGCGTCAATTTTCCGCGTTTCGCGCAGTTTTCCAGACTTTTCGCAAACCTCGTGTTTTTTAATTTGGTTCCTTTCTTTTTTTTCCCCCTCCGAAATGCCTTTTGCACTCTCTCGAATTTCTCTCCAGTACTTTTCCGGATCTTTGCTACAAATCAGTTACCGGGAATTCTTTCTTCTCTTATCTGTCTGCCCGCCGTCCGCGAGAAGACAAGGGGAAGAAATATCGAGTTAGATAAGTCGAGGGGATTGAAAAGCTCGAATCGATTGTAAGGAAGCTCTCCAACGTTGTATGGGAACCTTAGGGGATGAAAAGGCTAGAGAACACGAAGGTGAGATGAAACAATTTCCAATTTGATGTCTCAAAGTGTATCTTAACATTTTCTCGGGGTATAAATTAAATTACGTTACGTTAAGAAGTCCAACCTAACCTAACCTAACCTAACCTAACCTTCTCATGTAGAATGTCGACTGAAAAATCGCTTCTTTTTTGGTCTTTTAGTGGTTTTTCCGAGCTTTTTCCGGGAATTTCTCGAGGGTCTGTTACAGTGGCCCGCCGTTTGTCTTCCCAGAAGACAAGAGAAGAATCGACCGGCTCGAGATAGATTTAAAAGGGCGAATCGAGCTTAAGAAAGCTCTTAGGCGGACGTGGGCGCTTTTCGACGCCATGGCGGCTCGAGAAGTGCTCGAATCGAGAGCTGCTTACTCGAATCGGTTTGCCTTTCGTCCGCCTCTTAACCGGCAATTCCACGCGAGCGGCTCTTCCGAACCGTTAAACCAATTAGGACTCTTCAGCGGAAGGACTCGGGCACGCCCGAGGAGCGTCGAGCTTGCGAAGTGCCCGGAAATTGAAAAGCTCGTGCGCCCGCCGCTCCAGGAGTGCGGATTCCCCGCAACCTCTCCACGCGGAACCCGTTGCGGCCGACGCACTTTTATCCCCTTCCGGAAGTTTGAGGAACACCCGAGTCAATTAGGAATTGATTACAGAGCTTTGGAAGCTCCGTGGACGCAAGTATTCTCATTTGGCAGAGAGACTAGGAAGGAAGAGACTGATGGATGGCGTTAAGGTGATGGGAAAGTGGCATCTGAGGGGTCAATTTATGAAACTTTTTCTTGAATCTCCGTTCATTGAATCGTTTGAAAATTTCTCAAGTGGATATGGAAGCTCTATGGAGAGTCCCGATACTCGTGAAAATTCATTTTTTTATGAGATATTTAAAAAATGTCACTTTAAGGCGATGTGAAAGTGGCATCTAAGGGGTCAATCTATGAAACTTTTCTTGAATCTCCGTTCACCGAACCGTTTTAAAATTTGTCAAATAGATATGGATGCTCTAAGGAGGGTCCTGATACTCATGAAATTTCATTTTTTTCAATAACTTCTTTTATACAATATTTTTTAATTTCTCGTACAAATCAATTTCCAATGGCCTGCATATTCACGAAGGAAAATTTCGAACGATTCGGTGTGCCCCTGGTTCTAGTAAAATGCTCAATATAAATAATAAACGAAACAGTTTGCACAATTCGGCGTGAAAGATGTCTTGAAATATGTACGAGGTGCAAGCTTTCCACGTGGAGTTCGCTGCGGCCAGCGCGCTATTATCGCTTTCTGCGGTTTCCTCGGATTGTAAAAGCGAAGATTTATTCTTCTTGAAGTTAAAGAAAGGGGAAGAAAAACTTACTGGTCTCTGGTATCCTGGTATCATGAGCGACTAGAAGTTGGGCTGCCAGGGACGCCCTGTGTCCGGAGGTGCTCTCGGCGACGCACTCGTACCTCCCGCTGTCCTCCACCCTGGCGGACGATATCACTACTTTCGATCTCCGTCTGTAAACGACAAGAAGACTTAATAAATATAAATTAATAACAGAGAGAGAGAGAGAGAGAGAGAGAGCAACAGTTTGTTCTACTTTTTTTCATTTTTTTAACGTTTCTGTATAAAATATGTTTTAAATAAAGACTGTAAGAGGATGATCTAATTGAATCTGGAGGAAATGAAGCTTGCAATGAAGATTTTCGAGCGGGTAACAGCTGAATAAGAGGTCGAGCTTATCCAGAGGGCGAACTTCGCCTTGATTTATAGTTCGAAGGGAATACAATTTCTTCCCAAGAAGGAGCTTTCTCATCCTAGGAGGGTCGGAAAGCTCGGTCGAGCTTTTTCGCCCGGAACAAGACATTGTCTTCGATTAACGAGCGATTTAATTCGATTTCCATATCTCTACCTCCTTGATTATTTAACTCCAGTTCTTTAATAAAATTTAATTCATCGTGCTTTTCGCATTTTTCCAAGCTACAAGAGCTTTCGTGCTTTCCGTGCGAAAAGCGTCGACCGGCGGCTTTGTACGATTCCTACGTACAGAATGTAGGGAAAAAAATGGCCACGATTTTCCAAAACGACATAAAAAGTAAACCCAGGGTAAAGAAAGCCCTTTCGAGCGTCTCTTCAAATTGTATAATTAATATCGTTAACAAGTGTGAAATATTTTATTTAAAGAATCATTAGAGGAAAATCGATGTCGCTCATGAGGGGGTATGCGTATTTGCGGCCCGTACCGAAAGGGTTAACGACGAATTGAGACGTCCACGCAGAGCTCCGTGTAATTAGCCCGCCCCCTCACCCGGTATACGAGTGTAAGGTAATGAAAACCGTGGACGCAATTTGCGCTCTACAGGATTAAGGAAAACTTTTCCCCCTGTGGTGTTTTTTTTACGAGCGGCCTTTACGCCACTTTTACGCCGCTTTAACGCGCGTCCCGCGCGCCGGGGCACACGCGCGCCAAGTACGGACGTCGCCCCAGGCGGCGTGACGCGCCAAGTCCATTTACTCCTCCACCTACCCCGGTAAATGGACCTGCACCTACCAATGGACATGGTCACGTAACATGGGTGTGCAATGTCGGAAAATTACCTTTAAGCTTTTTAATCAATTTCTGACTGCCTCTTTTTAGTCCGGCAGTTGTCCATCATTTCCTCTAAGTACTCCTTTGAAAGTCTCCATTCCTAAATTTCCAAAATTTAAATTACCTCCCTGCGTTAGGTGCGTAACTTTTTGCTCCGACATTTTTTGTTATACTTTCTTTTGATAAACAACGATGCAATTTGGTCGGAAAATTGTGACAGTGTTTCAGTGATGTCCAACGTTGGTCAGGAATACATGTTTGCAATTTATCCATGATTTCCTTCTTTAGTACCCGACTGCCTTTCATTTCATATGATAAATATCAATGCAATTCGATGACAAGTGACGTTCGGCCTCAGAATCTTTACAGTACCTTTCCAACGTTTTCTGCTTACGATTTCCAGCTGATTGGCACATGACTTTAATTGTTTAGACTCAGGATTTTCTTAGTGGAACTCCCCTCGTTCGATCGAAGCGATCGATCGAGCTTTCGCGAGGACAGAGAGGCAAGGTAACAATCGGCTCTGGAAACGTAACGAGATGAAAGGAGAATGCGAAAGGCGGGTCGGCATGAACGAGGTGGAATACATAAATAGAACGCGGCGTAAGCTCGGCCTAAGCTCCGAGAGTGGCAGTAGTCTAGACGGAGTGTCGATTTTTGCCGTGGCACCAAATTAGAAACTCTCCGGTTCTCGGCCGGTCCCAACGTTGCTTGCTTTCGCCTTCTCCGAGCTTTTTTTTTTTTCCCCTCTTTTCACCATCTTTTCAAGCCGCCGGAGAGTGAACGAGTGCGCATGTAAGTCCGCTTAAAGGGGATGGACAGACGGCTCCGAGCTTTCGCAAGCTCTTTAATGAAACCGGCTCCTTCCTGCGTTAATGAACCCCGCTTTAAGGTGTACATACGTATATGTACTAAAAAGTCGAAATGGAAAATTTGTCTCCACACCGAATAATTCGGTGATGTGTCATATTGTATAGAAGGTATATATTATATATTATATGTAACGAAGAGGTAGGTATTGCGTTTCCGATTACTCTTCCACCGGAAAGGTGATAAGAAAAAATGGTATCTCCTTTATCGTGGTCCGATAGCGTGACTTCTTGCGACGCACTTGAAATCCTACCTCGAGGGAATTCGAAGAGGGTGAAAGAGGGCAAAAGGGAGAGAAAGAGGAGATAGAGAAAGACCGCCATTCAAGCGACGGAGGCATTAACACGACGAGGCAGTCCAAAAGAAAACCATTAACTACTTCCACGGAATGGAAGAAAAACAGAGAGGACTGCTGGCGAAGGGAGAGAGAACTTTCTTCCGTTTCTTCGGGCAAGTGTTCTCCCGATGCCGTTTCCTGGATGGATCTAGTCTTCGATCACTGATTGATTGAACCCGGACGTATAAATTTAACCCTTCGTCCCGGGTGTCTTCGTTTAACCAGAGATAGGCGCCGCCATTTTGGATATCACCATTTTCGATTATATTCAGGATGTATATGTGGGGTAAACATTTTAGAGGGATGTTAAATCAGCAAGTCTGCACAAAGGAAAGCTACGTTGAAAATCTGGCTTCAATGTTGTTCATTTTTATATTTCTGCGATAAATATAATTGAACGAATACCTAGAGAGATCAATTTTTCTCCCATTCACTCGTCAACCGTTTACTTCACAAAGTGCTTTATTGTAAATTCCTGGTAATCCTTGCATCCATGATCTCCAGATTTCTATCCCATTCACTCATGAACCACTTAACCCACCAAGAGGCCGAAGAGATTTCCAACGATCTCGAAGATTCCTGGCGAGGAAAAGCTCACTGACGGAGCTTTCGCCGATAAGTGAAAACCCCGTCTGGAAAACTTGGGCGATCTCACTTTACGGTCAGTTTACGATCGGCGAACTTGCCGGGTAACCGAAACCGGAAGTGGCAAACTTCCCGAAATGGCCGCCAGCTAATTTCCGGAGCTTTTCGAGTTCCAGCCCTTCGGTAGTTTTTGCAGGCGGGCATCGAGCTGGCACAGAGGGGTTTTAAGCAAGTCGGTTTATTCGCCAGGAGAAGTGGGTGGAGAATAAAGAACGGACGCAATGTTGACCACCAGCCCTCGTTTTGGTCCCCTGGTCATCTTCTTTTTTCGACCGGTGGCAATTTGTAGCCCAGACGAGGAGAGCGTCATCCTCCACGTTTTCGCCACACAGGGTGCAGAGTGGCTTTTTCTGGAGTTCTTTCGTGGTTTTTCCGTGGTCCTAGAATGACCCTGAGGTAGCTTTAACATGAACGGTACCAAGGAAATCTTTCTTTAGTTAAGAGAAATTTTCAAACGCCCCGCTTCGCCCTCTTGCACGGTCCGCCATATTGGGAATTTCGTGGCGACCCTTTTCTCGAGATTCCGCGTTCTTTTACCCTCTAATGTAAAAGGAAAGCTGCGTCGCAAGCTCGGGGTCGTCGTCGGGGCCCTTGGGGTCTTTGCACCAGAGACGAGTCACGGCACTGGGCTGTCGGATTTAAAATTAGAAGCCGAAATTTGGAGACGCCGGCGGACCCGCCGAGGAGCGTCGTCGTGTCTAGCGCCTTCCGATGAGTACTTCGCCAACGTAACCGACGGTAATCGAGTCCACCCACGTATTTCTCCTCGTGTGCCATTTTAAAATAGAGCGAGCACTACTCATCTCCCTCATGTGTACCATGCAACGCGATCCCGACATTACGAGCTCCGGGATTTCAGAGGACAGGGGACTCTTTGCCTACGAATCAAGATGGCGGACTCACGCGACGCCATCTTGCGCTGTATCTCTATGGAAATTAATAATCAACAATTTAGGGTCATCAAGAGTGGAAAGGGTCGTGAGGTTGGTAGATGTATGTCTTGGACATGTAAAAGTAGACTTGCGAGGGTTCAGTCAGGTCCGGGAGCTTTCGCAGTCCCTCGGGACCCCCGAGCTTTGCTGTTAAAATTCCCACCCCACTTCGGTCCCGACGCGGATGAACGGTGGGAGATAATTCGAAGGAGCTTTCGCATTCCGCGCCCAGCCATTTCGAAGCCGGCTTAGTTATCTCATTCTCCGCAAAGCATCATTCTTGCGGAAGGTTGGACGTCCGCCTGTGGGAGGAAAGCTCCCCAAGGCCCAGCGGCCCAAAGCTCGCAAGCTCGGGCTGAAATACCATCCCGGTGTTAATTATAGTTATGGATACCAGGTACTCGGACGTTTTCCGAAACGAGAACGAATGCACGTTCCAAAGGAGGCGAAGGGAACGGCGGTAACAAAATCACCCTTATTTTGCGATTACGCCGCCATTTTGTATTCCCTATTAAAAGTGTATTTTAACCTCTGAGGCGTGACATTTTTTTTCTATCGATCACCAGGGTAAAGCTTGCCATTTTCTAGTTAATTCGATTATCTACGCACGTAACTTTACTTGTGTTATCAAGGAGCATAAACAAAAACATGTAACATTTGGTTAAGATAAAAGTGTTTCTATAAATTTTCTCGGTACTAAAACGCAATGACAAATGTAAATAGAATTTAACTGCAGAAAATAATCGAGATAGGATACCGATAATAACTTGCGACGGTTTTAATGTCAACCACGTCAAGTCGAAAGCTCAAAAAGCTCAGTTAAGGAAGATGAAGGAAAATGTTAATACAAATTGCGTTAAAGAAAGTAGAAATATGAAAGTAAATAGAAATTAAGGGTAAACAAGCGTTTCACATTACAAATCGAGTTCTCCTCATGTGAGCTTACTTGTACTACCATCGGAGCTTTCACTTGTAGCGCCGTTTACGATAAAGATGATTCAAAGGAGCTTTCGCATCTCGCGCCATTTCGAAGCTATCGGAGTTATCTCGCATCATTCTTGCGGAACGTCGAACGTCCGCCCTGGGGAGGAAAAGCTGCCCCTGGGTCTCGTATCCCGGAGCTTGCAAGCTCCGGGTCTCGCG